TTCTTCCTAGTACCCTAAGATGGTGTCTCATACACAGTAAAACCTCAACAAATGGTTATTGAAAGAAATGGTTTGATATATAAATATAGCTTTAAAGATCAGAGTATACTAAATGACATTATGTGTCCTTAAAAAAATAGTAAAAAAGAAAACATCTATTCCAAAAGATAAATCAACTGTGTGGAGGCCTCACAAACATCATATATTCACAATCATATAAAAATGATTCTGTTTTTAAAATTTTATTATCATATTGATTTACTGAAAAAGTATTTAATGTTGAAAAACATCACCCTCAAACAGCTTCTACTTTAAAATCATAGCAATTGTTTCTTGATTATTTGATTAACCTAAAGTCATTAATTCTCTTTATATCCATCACCATTAGGTGTATAAATATATATGTATAGACACACATATATGTACATATGTAAAAAATTCATACATAGTATTGGAACTAAGAAGAATACAGAGAAATGTGGCATATATCCTTGATCTCTATAAACATAAATATATACAGGAATATGTACGTACAAAAATCTATATAGAATCCAAAGCCTAGAATAGGTCATCATTCATGGTTCAGTTATTTGAATGGTTTATTAAAAATTTTATGATAAAGGAGGAACAGAAAATAAGTGTTGTTAGGATATAGAAAAATGAGAGAATAATGGGAATGTAGCTCACTGAGGAACTGAATCAGAGAACAAGTAAGATTTTAGCTGGCAGGGAGATTGAGGTGAGCAAAGTACAGAGAAGACCTAGGTTAACCTCATAAGTCTTGGTCATGTTCTTGGGCTACTTGATCAACATAACCAGCAGGGAAGGGTGATTGAGTACAAATTTTGTAAAACTTTTATCTCACATTAAGGTAAATATCTTCAAGGAGAGACAACAACAAAAACAAAACAAAGCCCCCACCTAATGGTCATTTGAACAATATAGAAGTCTATTTCTCTAGGAGAAGCCCATATGGACGCACCAGGACTTGTGCTATCCCCCATAATTCCCTGGACCCAGCCTCTTTCTGCCTTGTTTCCCTGATGTGCATGGCCTCATTTCAAAGTAAACCTCTATGACCGAAGACAGCTAGAGTAGCTTCAATTCTTCTGTCTCTACAGTACATTCAGCAAGAATAAAAAGAAAATACGAGAAGGGTTTTCAGTCTTGTTTAAGGATGTTTCCCTAAAGTGGCACATATACCTCAACTTGTTTCTGATGGATGGGAATTTGCTGATATGACCACTGGTGATTCCAGGTTTGAGGGAAACAGTGAGACACACAAAAGAGCAAGGAGAGATTAAGGTTTCTGCCATTCCCCTTCAAATAGGGCTTCATAGAATATAAGTAAATAGTAAAATAATAAAAGGATTTTAGTAGTTCTTAAAGTAATCTTACTAATTTAATATTTATATTGCTTCTAAGAAAGATTCCAAAGATAAATGAAATAGGTGGTCCCCATAATTCAAAGCTCACCTTCTAAGTGAGGAAATCCTAACACTTTTCTCTTAATAGTGACTATTTTTATCAGTCAAATAATAGAGTACTATGCTGGAACTTCTGTTTTTCTTTACTATGGATTAAACCTAGGGCTGCTCTAGCACTGAACTATAGCCCCAGCCTGTTTTATTTTTTATTTTGAGACAGGGTCTTGCTAAGTTGTCCAGGCTGGCCTGGAACATTGAATTCTCCTGCCTTAGCCTCCCAAGTGTCTACAGGTGTGTGCCATGGTGCCTGGCTGAAAAAAAAAAATTTTATTATCATAATATTTGTGGATTTTAACACCTCAGTTTGTATCTTTTTTAAATATAAAACTTACAATAAAGTTTCTTACTAAATTGGTAATAAAGAAAAAGCACTAAATCTTGTGTTGCTTGAAAAACAGCACAACTGGACTTTCTTATCTCATCAACTGTCTTTGGATTTTAATATTTCTTAACTTTCATGGATCTTTATTTACCTTTGACTTTTTTTTTTAATTGAAAAATGTAGGGTTCTGAATCTCTTGCCTCAAACCACTTGAAATGTCCTAAGCTTTTCTTAATTAAAGCTTTTTTTTTTAGCTCTGTTCTGTGTTTGTTTTTTAATTTGAAAAAAAAGCAATAATTATTAACTTGTTTCCTCAGTAGATTAGTCTATAGTTAATATAGATATTTGAATCACAAAAGTATTTGCAATATTTTGTATAGGTGCATTTCTTTTAATATTCAAACAAAAGATCAAGAGATCAAACAAATGTTAGTGACATATCAAATGGAGAAATCAGGACATTTAAAAGTTCTGAGATGCATATACCAGAGCCTCCATCATCAAACACTTCTTTAATTAAACTCCAAGGGTCTGAGAGTACAGCCCAAGGGACTTGCTACATACACACAAAATGACAAAATGTATCAAAGTAAAATGATCCTTGTTGATTAGATGTGACTTTTTAGGGCACTTGAGAATGGTGCAATGATATCAACATCATATTAAAATAGAACAGACATTTATATAAAGTATACTTACCAAAAATACTTCAGGGATATTTATTGTGGATTAAGGAAGCTGACACTGTTCACAGGCTATAAATGCTGCTGTTTTCATGGTGTAAATTATCTCATTTATTCCTCAAGTTTTGAAAGTTACATGTAAATGCCTAAACTCCTTTCAGAAGTGTCTCAACTGAGGTTTAGAAAGGGCCACACACAAGGTAAATGCCAATGCTAGGATTCAAAACTTGTCCTCTTTCTACTATCCTACACCCTGGTCATAACATATTCACCGGATGTACCACAGTGTAACACAAAAAATGCACACATCAGTAATGCAGAAAGGGATACACATTGTTGCACTTACCCATGAATGTACTAACATTCACACATATATAATCTGAAGGGCAAAGCATTAAATAGAAGATATTCTCTATGAGAATGGTATTGTTGGTTTAAGAAAAATCCTAAAATAAGAGCTTAGTTTTACAGGGTGTGTTATCCTTACAGGTTTCAAAAGGTTCTTGATTCATCTCAATAATGTAGGGCTACACTGCAGTCATTGTTTGGCTGTCTTTTGAGTAAAAAGGACCACTTAATTTAATTTTTACCAAATCAGCTTTGAAGGGTAGGTTCGAATTTCTAGTAGTTTCTGTTTGGTGTATTTACAGACTGGATGGAGATAATATACTCTGAGGAGCACATATAGCTCATTTTATGTGCTCTCCCCCTGCCGCCCCAATTTTCTCTCTTTGCCAAGATTAGAAATCATTTCCCACAAAGTTAGCCCCCAAACAAGCAAGCTTTTGAGTAGTGATGAAAGAGGTAATTTTGTTTTGAGTAATAATTTGCCTTACATCAAATATTCCTCTTTTTGATGATTGCATTACACCACCTAATCTCTTTGATCAAGCATATGTGTATATATAGGTCCACCGGCTGAGTGTGTTTCTCTGAGAACACAGGGAAAAATTCAGAATTGCAAACAGAGGCACACACAGCTGTTTCCTTCCCTGTCATTCATTAGACTCTCTTTCTATGCCTTATGGGATACAGTGCTTTGGGCTTTGCAGCAAAAGCTGGCCCAGCCTGTTCCACTTACATTCAGATCCTAACCCAGGTCTCAAGCATATTTAAGGGTGAAAAGTTATCCTATTTATTAACTGTGAACTCATAAACTAGAATGATCCTCAGCAAGCCAGGCAATGCTCCGTGTTTCTGCCTGAGAATAATGAGCAAGCAGCACAACAGAGGATTGCCACAGACATGAGGAAGAAATGTTCTGGCTGTCTCATCTTATGAGGCATTGCTGTTCCCCTGGTACCCCTGGTACTTCTCTCTATGCATGTCAGACCAGGCAACCGATGTCTTAGAGAAGCTCACTTAACATTTCATGAGTTTGGATCTTGTCCCAAACAATGCACATCTTTGGATTCATTATTGTCCAGTGATGGAGGAGGAGCACTTTTGATTGGAACATTTCACAGCTCAGATAATAAATGAGTTGAGGGAGCTGATTAATATATAGCTAAAGCTGTGTGTTTTCTATCTTCTTGTTTCCTCCTTCACATTTTCCTTTTCTGTCCTATGCAGTTTTTTTTAAGAATAATATTAAAAAGCAGAAATTAAAAAGCAAACCATTGCAATGTTATTTGTCAAAGCAACAACTTAATGAAGAAAATGATATCCTTAGGATTGCTTTGCTGGAGAAAATACAGAATTAGGAGAAAGCGATGTCTGTGACAGAAAAATAACCCAAAGATAAAGGATGTTTCATCTTTCATATTGAGTGACTCAGTCTACTTTAAATTGTAAATATTTGTTTAATTAAGGATAAGAATGAAAAGACTCAGTTCAGTTGATATGACTGATACAACTCATTTACATCTCACTGTGTAGAAAAGCTAGCTAACATTGTGCTGTTTCTACCTGAGCAATTAACTCAGTGAAAATTGTGTTCAGTTTACCACCTGATACCACATGGACAAAAATAACCATGATTTAACTAATTTTTATGTATCTTCATTGATTATGATAATTTCCTTTTACAAGAGACTGTAGTTCTTTCTTCATTTTTTTCTTTCAAAAACTAATGTGCAGAATATTGGAACTTTAAATGGCAAAACAGTTGCTAGCCAGACAGTGTTGTGCTTGGCAGCTCTGTCCACCAGATGTGGAGGGCGAGGGCTGGCAGGGCTCCACTCCCCAGTCCACCCTTGCCCTTTCATTTGCCATGCTTTTTCTACCATATTGCTGCATTTGTGGTTTAAGTCAGTGTTTGGGAAGACACTTTATTCTTGCCACAGAGAAGGAGGAAATGAAATGTGAAAAGAGAACTTTCATTTTTGGAATATTTAAAGCCAACCATTTGGAAATTGAGTTATTATCCTTTTTTTTGCTTGCTTTCTTACTTTCTCTTTCCTTTCTTCTTTCCTCCCTCTCTTTATTCTTCTTCCTTCCTTCCTTTTCATTCGCAGAAACAGAGTCAGCATTTCTTGATTTCCTACCATAGGTACTGTGCATTCATTAAATAATAAGGGAAATTAAATGTGTATTGCATCACTGGAAAGCCGTAAACAGACATGATTAAGAATATTTAGCAGAGCAATTTTGTACCTCTCTTTGCTCAATTAGGAAAGTGCTTCAGTAAGAAGTAATTACGACTAGAGGTGATAAAGTTATAAAGCCACATGCTAATGTCAAAACAAGATCTTTAACAGATGGCCCAAAAGAAAATGTGGGTTCTAAAATGTGATTTCTCTAGAGTATTAGAGTTTAAAAAAAAAAAATGTAGTTAAGATTTAAAATGAAGAGATTAAAGCTTTGCTTTAAGATAACTTGTTACAGGCAAAACTAATCTAAAGGTCAAATTTTAGATTACGTGTTCAGAAGATACTGACTGGAAAGAGGCACACAGGAACCTTCTGGGTCATCATAATCCTTCTCGTACTGTTAGGCAGTATATTTTCTTTCTAGTGTACTTTGATTTAGGCCTCTTCCTCTTTCCCTGTGTTTCTACATACCCCTCCCTCACTTCCCACAGGCCACATGAGTTTCTTTCTGTTGACCTGCTCACCCTGTTGTTTCCTGTGGCCTGTGATCCTCGGTGCACATGTATTTCAAGCACAGGTGAATCTTGGCTTTGTACCAGCTGGGTGTTTGTTATGATTGTCAGTATCCTTCCTAATAAAATCTAGGCTGCGGATCTTTGATCATGAGAATACATTTGATTCATGTCTTCCTGATATGTAAGCAATGGAATGAATAAGTATAATGAAAAATGTTGATGTTCATGTTATTTTTTTATTTTTCTCAGTGTGTGCTGTATTTGTGGGCCTTGAAAATTCTTTACCCCAAAACACTGTTTTTACTTCGTGGAAATCATGAATGTAGACATCTAACAGAGTATTTCACATTTAAACAAGAATGTAAGTATACTTTAAGCTTCTTCCTTTAATACTATATGTAGTAAATTGTCATTTTAATCAATCACTAAGATCACATTATAATATGATCCATTGCCTAACAGTCAAAAATTTCAAGTGACACTGTTTCATGTTATTGCCCATTTCTTTCTAAGCTTGAACAGTTATAGGAATTCAAAATTTATTTTCAAGTTAAAAATTTTTCAATTAATATTCAGATTAATATTTGAGTATATTTGAGAATTCAAATTGATATTTGGTATAGTTGATCTTAAGAGGCAAGTAAGTTTCCTTTTTAAACCAGTGAAGTATACAACTGTTTGAGACAGTAATTCTACCCTTAAATCTCACATCACTCAAGAAAAGCAAATGGAGGTCAGACAGAAAGAACCTCGTTCCTCTGTTTTTGAATCTGATGTATACTAACCTCTGTTCTACTTTACAAAATTAAAGAGATGGCTTTCTTCTTTAGATATCAAGACTAGGAGCATGTAGTACACCATGTAATTTCATTTTCTTCCTCTCAATTTTCCCCATTTTCCACTGAAGCCTCAATTTCTGTCATGTGTTCATGTATTCAATGGAGCATGAAGACTTCTCTCAAAACATTAGATACAAATCAATAGGGGAAAGGCAATATGCAGTGAGTGAGTGAGATACGAACAACTTTAGAAAACTTCTTGCCATCAGCTTTTCTATAAAATCATTCAGGAATATCAGCCAGTTTTATGGCCATCATTCTTTTGGTCTCCAGTTAAGTGTATATTTTTGTGGTGATAGGTCTACAGATAATTAGCCAGAATATATGTAAAAAGTCTCTTCTTTGCTATAAAAAAAGTCTTAAAAATTATAAAATATGCTTGAGTGATAAAAATATAAAATACCATATTAAGATTAACATATAAATCTTTAAAAGTTGTGTTTGATTCTGTTTCAAAATTTTGCAAAGTGTAATTTTATGCTTGTCATGTCATACTGGCAAGAAAATGTTAAAAAGAAACAAAACTATTTCAATGCATTGATACTAATGATGAAACCATGAGAGTAAACATTTGCTTTGTACCATGTTTGAAAGGTAAAATAAAGTACTCGGAGCGTGTGTATGACGCCTGCATGGATGCCTTCGACTGCCTTCCCCTGGCTGCCCTGATGAACCAGCAGTTCCTGTGTGTACATGGCGGTTTGTCTCCAGAGATCAACACTCTAGACGACATCAGAAAAGTAAGTTCTTTTATTTTCCAAATGTGATACTTTTGTGTGCTTCTGTAATAAATAAAGGTATCACTTTCCCTACATTCATCACTAATTTTATCTTTTTGAATTAAAATGATTGAAGGTAGTCATCAGTCTCCTCTTTGTATTAAAGTTTTGTTCTTAGAAGGAAGTTATATTTGTACCTAGAAGATTTTTCATCTCTAAATCCTCAGGGTTTCTCTGTCCATGTGGCATGTATCATTAGAAATATAAAACATTGTCCTTTAGATTTTTTCAAACAATCATTGGATATTCATGATGTATTAGGCTAGAAATGGTGCTTTGTCTTTGGGAAAATATCACAAAGTTGGCCTTTGAAATGTATCCCTTTAAAATGTATCCATCTCTACTCTTTGTTACTATATTGTAACAGACTAACAAAGGCAAAGATAATTTTCTGTTAATTGTATTGTGAGCTAGCTATGAGAAAAAAAATGGACTTTTAAGAAGTTTTTTTTTTAAAAAAAAACAACTTAATTTAGCATTGTCTATTACTATTGTTTTAGCCAGAAAGGAAGATTATTTATATTGAATGTGGAAGTATGCTATGTTTATTTCATGAGAAAATGTAGTAATATAACATAGTTTTACATAGCATAAGAATCTCTCTTTTATTTCTTTATTTAGCTTTTGAACATTATATAACAGTATGAGAAAAAAATAATCAAAAAACTCCACACATGTTTCTTGATTCCCAAATCCCCAAAGACAGAAAGCAATACATATCTTCTTATATTATCTTAAAATAATATTACCTGGAATTATTTTAAGGTATTTGTTTACTCTAATATATATGGCATTTTATATGTGATAAGAAGACTTTGTTCACTACCAAGCTTCCATTTAGGAAGTCTAAACTAAGATTTCTCTTCAAGAATTCTGAATATTTGACAACCGTATCTATTGTCAAAACTTCCACCCTCTACTTTTAGAGACCTAAGAAACTTTCCTTGTACTTATATCAAAGAAGAAAAGAAACGTGAAAATAATTCTAATTTTTTTTATTACTCTTCCCAGTAATTTTTGCCAGAATAATTTGGTCACATTTTTTTAAATTACTCTAACTGAATCAGGGATTTGCTGAGTTTTGTTATGAATATATATGTAATTTAATATTTATTTGATTAAGCCTTATGTGTTATAAGTAGACTGTAGCTCAAACAAGTGAGGGCCTAATTTCAATGAGTACAGAATTTTTTGCTTGAATATAGATTTACTTAAGATTGATAGTGGACACAACTCAAATTCCAACCCTTGCTTATTATTACTTAAGTGGTATTTGTACAAAGATCCCTTGGTGTCACTTGTTGGAATCATTGCCACCTAATTGTTTTTTACATTTCCCTGTGTTTGAAAATTTCAGTGCTTAATCTCAGAAATCTATATATTGAATAATATTTATCAGTTAATTTCATCAATTGCCTTAATATTAAATTAGTAAATAGTATTTTCCCATAGCGTTTAGTAGAGAAGGAAACCAAAGAGTCATGTAAGCTTTTCGCATGTTAGTAACCTTATAATCAGTTACTACAATAAGTACAGAATGAAAAATGGAATAGGTCAGAGTATAAATAGCTGTAGTTGTTCTGTAATGGGCTTCAGGGATGTGCATTTATGTTTTAGTTGACTTTATCCAGTTCTATGGACTTACTTGGATGAGAAACTTGCCAAGTATCCTAACAGGGAGGATGAGTGAAAAATTCACTCAACATATAGCCCTTTCATTATCTGAACACAGCTGATGTATAGCTGTCTAAAGTTCTGCACCACAAAGAATAAATAAAAAAGATATGGCTATTGGGCTATTTTGTTAAAGATACAATCATGGGTAAAAATATAATCTACAAACCTCTAAAACCCACACAAAAAATCATTTCTACGTGATTCTCATTTGTTGTGTTTCTTGAGTAATTTTTCTTCATGAAACTCATGATGTTGAGGAAATAACTTATTAAATCATGAACATATTTAGATATCATAAATCTCTACTGCCAGGAACTCAGTATTCTTTAAAAATCTTATTGATTTTTATAGAAAAATTATATTTAGGGTAGCAAAGCATACAATTTTTTTTTTCTATCAGGAGATTTGCATCCTTAAGGTTCAAGTGAGCAGGTGTTAAAATAGTGTTGTAGATAAATTGTAAATTATACCGGACTTACTTTCCTCCGAGAAAGGAATTACATGATTGTTATTTTTAAAATCAAACACGGGTACATTAAATAAACCTCTGTTTTGTACTTTACATGATTAATTTTTAAGACACCATTACACATTTGCTTCTGGTCCTCTGAGCAATCTGTCTTTGCTTTCTATTTAAAGTGCTATCCAGATATGTTGTTGAAAGGTAATCATGGAGTTCGTGTATAGAAAGTTCCTTTATATATGAAGTTGGCCAAATTCTTCTACAACCTGATGGACTCTTGAAATCAGTCACTAAAGGTTTCATGGTACATTGAATAGTTAAAAAAAAAAATACCTGCAATCCCCAGAATTTACTTTTTGGCATATTTCAGATATTCTATATAATTTTATATATATCATCAGATTCTAAGCTTTGCCATAAAATGATTTTGAGGTTTGCATTTCACTATATGTCAGAGTTTTTACTACACTTAACTTTATTTCATTTTGTATTTACATATTTTAGTGTAGATGATGTGAACCTCTAGACTGACTTTATAATTTTTCCAGAGTAAATTCTATATTAGGGTTGCTTTCCCAACCTATGATTGAAAATTCATATTGGTCTAAAAACCTTCCTTCCTCCACTGTTCTACCTCTAGTAATAAATTCTTATTTCTCTGTAAGAAATTATGTATTTGCATGGACAAGCAATATTTTTCTTGGATGAATTGTTTCAAAGACATAAGTTATTTAAATTTCTCAAACAAGTGTACATTTATAATAAATATGGCTCATATAATGGTTGAAATATAGAGGTGTCTTATTGAATATTTTCATTGGTTGTTGAAAATGTGAAATATTTCCTTATTTTCTTTAGATAATATTAAACACCAGAATATAGAAAAACCATTACTTCATCATCTTGTATGTCCCAGGTGAAATAGAGAATTCCACTGCTTGTCAGCCTCATATTTCAGCTGTCTCTACTGGATTTTTCCAAATAGTCAAGTATTGACTCTGAAGTACATCCATTATTAATGGATTTTCATAATACTTTTATGCAATTTTTCATTGCAATTAAATTATGATAAACTCAAGTAACAGTCTTATCAGATTGTTGGTGGGCTGTTATTTCCAGTTATGTTGTTCATGCTTCCTAAGTGCACCTTTTTAAATTGAAATATGACTTTGATAAACATTTATCACCGAAAAGTGGATTTTATATAAAGGATTCAGGTAAAACTGTAATGTTTAGAATGTAAGCTAAAGAATGACCCCAAAATTGTAGAATGATTTGATTCCTTATCCTTTCTTTTATTTCCCCCTTCCATAGTTGTATGGAAGACTGTGCTTTTGTTAGACACCTAGCTGGACCCTAATTAATTAATATCCACAATGTTATATAGCAAGTAGCTCCTCTCCAAGCATAAGCCTTCTGTTCCCAAAATCCTGTTGTTGATATAAAAATCTAATGGAGGAAATAGGAGGAACCACCCAAAGATAATTAACGCTTCTCCTTTCACAAATGAAACACAGATGGAGTCCCATTAATTGGTAGTGGCTAAAACACTTGGATAAATAAAATAAGTAAAGAGAGATAAAAATTAAAAGAGGAGAGGAGAAAGGGAAAAAGAAACTTTGGGGACTACTGAGGCAGGAGAAAGATAAAGATAGTGATAAAGACCAAAAAGAAATAAGCTCATCTGGAGAAAGAAGGAAGGAGTCGGACTTGGTGATGAAGAGTAGCAAGATGGGAAGGAAAGAAGGAAAGCGGAGGAGAAGTGAGCAGTGGAGTTCACCTATTGGGAAGAGGCAGGTGGACGTGGTTTCCTCTGGTTTTTGAATTCCAAGTTTCCAAAGATTAGTATTTTGCTCTGTCTTCTATTTTTCTTAGTTAGACCGATTCAAAGAACCACCTGCTTATGGACCCATGTGTGATATCCTGTGGTCAGACCCCCTGGAGGATTTTGGAAATGAGAAGACTCAGGAACATTTCACTCACAACACAGTCAGGGGATGTTCATACTTCTACAGGTGAGGACCCAGGGCTCGCCGGTTGGGACAGGTTTGCCTCAAAAATGCTGGAATGTAGCAGCCATTGGACTCATTAATGACATTTGTGTAACTCCTTTAGGTAACCAGGATAAGCGAAAGGTTCACTTTGATAGTTTGGCTCAAATAGGTTCTTAGCATTCTCACAATGAAAATATAAATAAATGAGTGAATAAATTGATGTGAAATATATATATACACACTTACATAAATACACAATTTCTGTGAAGAATAGAAAAGGCAGAAAAGATCATGTGATGTGAGAGTGGAGAGGCTGCTGAAGAAGATGGTAGGATTAAGTAGAAAAACTCTTCTACAAGGGAAAAAATTCCATGACCGACCTTGAGTTTTCATTAAATATGCAATCACATTTAAAAATTTTTACCAGTTCTCATGACTTCAATCAAAAAAATAACTTTCTGTTGGTTAATTAAATTACATTTAAGCCATTCATATATATATAGAGAGAGAGAGAGAGACACACACACACACACATATATTTTTTTAAGTTTGTCAAGCTTCCTGTATAAATTAAATTTATTTTTAGCACCTTGATAACCAAGTTAAAATATTTTTACATTTGCAGATCTCTGGGGATTTATTCATTCCATAAAATTTCAGAACACTTTACAAAGAAATCTACCAAATAATTGGGTTTCTGCATGTGCTCACTGTTTTCTTGACATGTCACCCCAATTTTAGCTTAGTGTATCTGTCTGATCTTCAGTTTCACTAGGATCTCCTGTCTTAGATTTGTGGCTTACATGAAAGTTTAAAGAAGGAAACAGGTTATGAAAAGTTGAGAATTTAAATTCTAGAGTATATCTATCTACCTACCCACTAACTAACTTACACTTTCTTTCCATCTGCTTTCCTTCCTTCCTTCCTTCCTTCCTTCCTTCCTTCCTTCCTTCCTTCCTTCCTCTCTCTCTCACTCCCTCTCTCTTCCTCCCTCCTTGCCTCTCTCCTCCTTCCTCCTCTCTTTCTTTCTTTCCCTTTCTTCCTTCTCTACCTCCCTCCCTCCCTTCTTCCTTCCTTCCTTCCTCCTTCCCTCCCTTCCCCTTCCCCTTCTCTTTCCCTTCCCTTTTCCCCTTCTCCTCTCCCTCCCCCACCACTTTACTTTCTTTCTTTCTTTTCTAAAACCAAATCTGGCATTTCCCCAAAGTTAGGGCTCAATTCCAGGCAGGCAGTTAAGGTAATTGCAGAGCTGGAAGAATTCTGTAAAACACATCCAGTTGCATACCTTCTATCTGTGAATTAAGCAGATATCCTTTGTATAACTTTGATCAATCTTTTCCCTGGTAGAACATTTTGTTTTACATTATTTATATTTATATATAAATATATATAATTTTACTATGAGGGAAAAGTGTTGTTATTCTTCTGTTGATGTGATTGAGAAATTATAGATTGTAGGTAGAAAATCATACACTGTGAAGGATTAAAAAAATCTTTTTTTATACATAGTAATAGAGAGGTTTATTCTAAACTTTTTTATCCAAAAGTTATAATCCACCTCTATGTTTTGAAAATTTGGGCACCAAGTCTAAGGAGCTATTTTGGACAAAATGAAGAAACATGTATAATATTTATGAAAAAATCCTGAAGATTCTTTGCAGTAGTTAATTTAGGAATGATCCTTTATTAAAGATGTTATTTCTAGAGAAAAGTTAAGTATGATTGAAGTATAAAAGCCAAGTGTTCAATTTTCCAAACCTGGTATTAAATCCCCAATCATACTAGATGTTTAAATTACCTGTGTGATACCACTGAGTTGTTCTTCATTATCATAGTATCAAACTCTTGATTTTAATAGAATTCTATTCATTAATTCATATTATGGCATACTGCCATGAGTTTTCTGCATTAACTATCCATATAAATCATTCTGAACCAAGACCCATACTGAAGTATACATAAAGTGTAGTATTTTTACTTTGTGAACATATACTCAAAAATGTGTGTAGATGAGGAATAAAATCTATCAACTAGATAAGTTGAGAATTAAGCATGTTTTAAGATTTTATTCTCCACAAAATGATTAAATCATTTCATAGGAGGTTCTTTCAGATATTAATATTTTAGCCATAAAAAAATTATTGTGAGGTTGAGTATTTAAATCTGCAGCTCACAGATTCAAACTATTTGCAGAAAAGTCTAAATTATGTTTTGTCTTAGAAAGATAAAAATGTCTTTCCTGTTCTCCTGGAGCTTTTTGGTCCTTTTGCCTTTAGCAACATCTTGAAGATATTGAGGCCTTTTCTAAGGTGATGATTTCTACAGTTCATCTAGATGGACACAAGCAAGCCATGAAATTAGTAGAGAAACTTAGCAATAATTACCTGTTCAATTAATTGGAGTAATTTACATACACCATGTCCAGATTTATTTTTCATGTTCATGTATAGTTTGCATATATAACTTAACATGCAACCCTATCGCTATCTAACATATTGTCTTGGTTATGATTGACGTTCAAACAAAAGTTATACAGAAAAATACATCAGAAGGAATTTTTTAATGCTGTCCATGAGACTTATTAGACAGGCAAAGTGATGGAGAGGAAAAAATCCATGGGAATTCTGTCTTTGCCCCCGTGCTACATTTATTTTTATAATCTTAGAACAGAGTTTGCATACTCAAATGCCTGTAATGTTCAAGCAGGTAATTGAGCTACTTGAGCAGGCCAAGTGTTAGACTGAAGATGACATAGGAGGTAAAGTATTCACTTTCTTATAAACAAAGGAAAACTGTTGGCAGGATTTGGTGCTTAGGTTGTCAATTTATAGCTCTGCCTTGAATGAATCATGTCAGCTTCTTATTTTGAGTTTTCCTGCTTCAAAATGAGTGAGTTCAGTTCCTCTAAGCAGTGAGTCTTGAAGGACATATTAACAGACACTGTTAGTATTGAAGGCTGCAATTACATCTCACTCTAATCACTTCTGATCTCTTGATCACAAATTTCCATCTCTTTACATGCTGCTTAATTTCTCTGCTGCTTAATTTCATTCCCTTCCATTTTGAAATCCTTGGATTCCTCCTTCCTACTCCCAACTTATTTTCCTCTAATTTAGCAGCACGTGCTGCCTCTTTCTTTGTCTTCTTTATACTTTTTTTTTTTAATTCATGTTCTCTTCTAGGAACCTGGCTCACTTGCCCAGGTCCACTGTAAACTCTAAACTCCGTGGTTTGCTTATTTAATCTGTGTCTTGCCCTTCATCTCTTTATCTTCTTGGGCTCCAATCCCCTATGTCTATTTGTCTGCTGAAATTTTCTGTCTAGTGCAGACTTAACTTGTTTGAAGGGGGTATACACTTCCCACTTGCTTAATCCCCATGGAGATGCCTCCTGGTTTTTTGGAGGTTTTGATTGTTTAGTTTTAATAGCATTTCATTCTCCCTGTTACACAGACTAGCAGGTACATTTGCCATTTCTTCTTATATTGAAATTAGCACCAATCAGTCATCATGTCTTATTAAAACTTTGTTTATAATATCACCAATAACTAAACCATCCTGCCTTCTTTCCCTCCCATTCTAAGTTGAAAATTTGGGCAGTTGTAATCTGTTGAAATCACACCAGAGCTCTCTGCTCCCAATTTTATCAGTATCCTCTCTTCCCCTTCCCTTCCTTATTTCTACACTTCCACTCATGGGCATCCTTTATGATAATCCACTCACTTATTCAGTTATTTAACAAACATTGGCTGAGCACCTATCGTGTATGCCCTCTGCTAAGTTGTATAGATGCTCAGAGTCTCTGCCTTTAAGGGAATGATAGTCTAATAGCAGAGAGCAAAAAGCAAAAACATACCAAGTGCAAGATACATAGTGCCGTCACAGGTGTGCAGGCCATTACACCCATGCATGCAAATACGGAGTTAGGAGTCTTAACCCAAAGACAAGGTGGACTAGGACTTTAGGTCCAGGTGTTACCAGAGTTTGAAAGGATGAAGAGAACATATCCATCCAGTCATGGAGGGGAGGCTCTTACAGGCAAAGAATGTGGGGGAGTTCTGCAAAAATGGCCACTTGAGGGGCTGAGATTGTGGCTCAGCGGTAGAACACTTGCCTAGCATGTGCAGGACCCGGGTTCAATCCTCAGCACCACATTAAAAATAAAGGCATTGTGTTGTGTCCATCTACACCTAAAAAATAAATTAAATTTAAAAAACATGGCCACTTGAGTTGTTTTACTTCACTTCTATTCCCAAATTACATTTAGCTGCTTTGTTGTTCACTGAAGCTGAGCATTCATATGACTAAGCTGTTCTATTTTTACACATAGTAAACATATGTACATATGTGTACCAAGTTACAGCATGAATAATAAACTTTAATATTTATATTAGACTGCACATAGCAACATGGATGAGTGGCACAAGTATAATTATGAGCAAAAGAGACCAGGTACTATTTACTAATCATACATGTTATATGATTCCATCCAAATGAGCTCAGCATCTGAGAAAGCTAATCTATAATGTTAAAAGCCAGATACTTAGTAAGGGAATGATTATGAAGGAGCGATGAGTTTCTTGGGTTCAGGTTATGTTCCCTGTCTTCATCTGAATATTAGTTACCAGGGTGTCCACTCTATGGAAGGTTATCAAGTTGTAATCTTTTGATTTGTGCCCTTTTCTGTTTTGGTTTTTTACTTCAATAAAAAGTTTGCCGTAGGGCTGCAGATGAAGCTAAGTGGTAGAGTGCTTACCCAGCAAACACGAACCCTAGATTGAATCCCTAACATCACAAAATAAAATAAAAAGTTTACCTTCAATAAAGATTGCTTGCCACTCCTGAGGCCGCCCGCAGCCAAGTATAAGCAAGGACTTAAGCTCTGCAGAAGCCTGGCAGGAAAAGTTGGAGCCCTAGTGGGTAAAATCAAATTAGTTGGAGAACCCTGGGGCAAAGAAGAAATACAGCAAGCACTAGAAAAAGATAGGCCTGACAGTGTCTTGGAAGACTCAGATCATCCAGGGCTGAGTGCCCACCTACAATAGATATCAAGAAGCAGGTGAGAATGCAGTAGGGCTGGGACAGGTTGAGGGCACTTAGGAGGTAGAGGCTGCCAACGAGGTACCTTGGAAAGTGATTGCAGCCTTCCTGCCTCTGCTTTGCTGAAGCATCAGGCAGGGGAGAAACCCTTTGCACCTCTCACCTGCTTAAGTGCCTCTCTTGAGGCTACCTCCCCAACTCTACTTGAGCTCTAGTAAGCTGACAGATTGTTGCCAACTGTTTAGGTGGGAAGAGTGGGAAAAACAGTTCATCCCTCTCTTAAGACACTCACTATTGCTGAGGGCAGATATGTGAATATATTTTGCATCACAACATAAGTGATACCTTAGATCTGTGCATTATAAAAGCAGAAGATGCAGCCGTTCTGCACTGATTGGGATTGGGGTGTGGGGGCTTTTGGTGAAGTCTTCTCTAGTGAAAAGCATCATTTCAACAAAGAATTCACCTTTCAAGGAGAAAAAAAAAATGCGCATGGAGTGTCTACAAAGATATAACCATAAAACCACATCCTAATAATACCTGCTGGGTAAAATCATAAAGTCTTCAATCTGAGAGGATTAATTCAACATCAAAACTATAGTTTAATATGCTGTAGAAAGAAAAAGAGGAGAACAAACAGAACAAAGCTAATATAATGGAGCTATTTGCTTAGTACCAACTGGGTTTTCCTACTATTTTTCTCACATTTTTCTCTTTTCTGCCTTCTTCACCTTTGTTCTTACTTAGTCCACATTCTGTCTACCCCTTCTGGATAAGATTCTACCCCTTTCCCATCTACTCACAAAGATCATTTCCTTGAAGATCTCACATAAAAGAGATTTTTCATGAACAGTTCCCTAATTAACTGCAGAATCAAATGCTTTCTTGCTTCATAATGGTTTTATAAAACTTGTGCTATTTTATCTTTATCTGACACACACTCTCACACACACACACACATATATATATACATATATATTTATGAAAAGCCATATATTTTATTACATATAAATATATGGATTTTCAGCTTGAATCTTTTGTTTTGTAATCATTTTCTTTAAAAAAGCATAGAAATGTTGTAGAATGTTTTGGTTGTTTTTCAAATACTATTTAAGATTTTAATGCACCCTTGGCAAGTATTTCATCAGTAATGGGAATCTAGGGGATACTTGATTATTTTCTAAAAATTATTTAGGATAATTCTTTAAAAGCTTGAGTATTTAATTATGCATGTTTTTAAATTTATGGTTTTTTTCTTCAAAACGGGTTTTTTCCATGTAAATAATAGAAGTGTACCTTATATAATACTATTAATCAACAAATTGCTGCTTAGTTAATTTTATTTTTGTCAGGTTTCCATTCAAAGTCATATTTTTTTCATGAGGAAAAACACAGTCTAAACATATTATGGTATCAAAATTAGCATGAATAAAATATATTGAAATTATATTTTCATCAGAGGAGTATAAATTGTTTCAAAAGGCAGGAGTGGGGGAGAGCATAACCAAGCCATTTTACACAAAGGCAAGTGACAAACCAGGCAAGCAGTCCCCATCCAACAATGTAACAAGACAATACACTGTCTTATAAAGCCTCAAAGGCAGCAGGACTATAAAGCGCTCAAGAGACGGGGAGGAACATTCATTTAGAACATACTCAATGACACTCCTTAGCTGGGCATTTATAGCTAAATATGTACCAAACAAACATGCTGTTTTTGAAAGGCCAGCCATTGTCTCTGAAATAAAGATTTATTTTCCCAACTTAGATGAAAAGGGTAGAGACTCACCTTTTCATTAAGTAGAACAGACTTTGAAGACATGGGTTAATCAGTTCCTGGTCTTAGATACCAGATGGGCACATTCCCACAGAGAGGCATAGGCCATCTTCACCAGTCTCTCAGACATACTCCTGACTAATTAGGTGGATGCTTATTGACCAGATGGACCTGGGACAGCTAGGAAGTGGGGGCCTCATGCATATCTCCCTTTTTTCTCTGTCTTGCAACACACACACACACACACACACACACACAGATGTGCACAGAAATCATTTTCAGCATTTGATCCCATTTTTGTTAAAGAACTGAAACTTTCTTACAATCAATTGATGTATAACTCTGTGCCATCTTAGTGGTATTTTTTTCCTATTGATGAGAGAAGTTATACAAATGTAGCATAGAAACTACATTCATCATTTTTATGATAAATTATTTTAGTAGTATAAACAGCTAAAATATTACCACAAAGTGCTATTTTATAATTGATGAATGCTGTCTATCGTATGTATAGAGTAGGTTTTAGTAAATATCTGCAGTTTGTTTATGAGTATTGGTCTTGAATTGTCAAAATTCATTTTTATAACGCACATTTATCTCATCAAAAACTTGTACAGCAGAGATATTGTGATTGTAAAAAAGGTTTCTAAAATTCTAATTTGTAGTTTCAATTTCACTTACAATGGAGTCCTTCGAGTTTGAAACTTTTAAGGCAAACATAATAATTGTATATTGGATATATTTACTAAGTCAAGATAAATAAGTTTTGAGATGAACTGCTCTTGATAATATATAATGTACAATTTAAAAATCTTGTGAATGTCTATAATTTTATTTAGATGTTGCCACAATACAGTCAGCTTAATGTACCCACAATATTAGATCAGGCGAATTTGATTTCCTAGTACACTTACTCTCCTGCATTTCCTAGCTCACTTTTCTGTTGCACACTTGTGCATGCAAGCACATGTACAAACGGTGTCATGTTTGGGAATATTGAGGTTTCATTCTCGTGATATATTTATGTTTCTGTTTACTTTGTATTTAAATGGAAATTTATAAAAATTGATCATGACTGAGAGTGAACACTCCACTGTTATTGTATAATGGCCTGGTTGGCTTTGTTTGCAATTCACATACATCCCTGTTTGATCATGATTACTGCTGTAGGTGCCTTTTCTGCCATAGAGACAAACTGTCCTTAGAGCCAAGAAGCTTGTTTCAGGAATGGTGTATGTTTGATTATGCCCTATCAAACTGGTCTGGATATCAGAGGTGAATATGGGACTCCTGATGACTTGATAACAGATACTTCTCTTTTTTTTTTTGTCTCTGACAGTTACCCAGCTGTTTGTGAATTCTTGCAGCACAATAACTTGTTATCTATACTCCGAGCCCATGAAGCCCAAGATGCAGGGTAAGCAGACTTGAGGATTTGGGAAAACTGTGCATTGCCCCTTTCTGAAAACTTCCTCCTGTGCTCAGGCCCTGTGGATTCCCTTTTGCCAGACTCACTCCCAGACAGAATTAGGTCTTAAATGGTCACTGACAAGGCAGGTAGGGCAGAGTCCCTGGTGGTAAAGCCCCTTTTAAAGTTCTTCAGTCTTTAGCTTAAACAAGTCAATTTTCAGCTTTTCTAAAGTACTGTAAGGCAACCTCCTCCCTTATTTCTCCCAGTTCCTACTTTGACCACTGTCTTCTAATTGAGTAAATGACCAGCTACGTTTCAGTCTTGGTTGGCAAGATGAATGAGAATCTCATGTATATATTTAAAATATATTGCATGTTATATTTTTGTTTTAAAGAATGCTATTCCTGATCACTGTAGAGCTCTAAAGGAAAAAAAACATATAGGGACATTTAAACAAAGGAAAAACTCATATGTTCTAAGCAAATAATTACATAAAATTGATTTTGTATTGATTGGTAAATTTTTAAACCATAGATCAATTTTCAGAGTTTAGAAAACTAAGAAATGTCAAATATGTTCACTTCAGCAGTTCATTAAATCTACATGAGGAAGAAATTAGCATAACAAATTTAGGATTTGACTTTGAATATCCTTTTCCATTATGCTCCACTGAAAGGCATTGTTTGCCTTTAAATTATTAAATGCATTCATTCATATTTTCGATATTGGATTTTACAACTTTTCTGAAATTGACAACATAGGATACCTACATTGAAGGCCCCCATCAAGTATGCTCCAGGAACAAGGCAGAAACTTAAGTTCCTTTCAAAGTTAGCTATTTTTGAAGCGTTTCATCAATAGAGAGAAGATCAATCAATTATCTTGATAACCATTATACTTTCAGAAAGTTGCCAATATTTTTGACATAAAGTGGTCCAATAAATAGAGCAATATACAAAGACTTGCCACTTATAACCAGGCCATTTTTTCTATAAGTCTTCAGTATTATATGAAGGTTATATATAAGCATTTTGCTTGGACTGAGTGATTTCTTTTCAAAGAATATCTGATTAAATTTTTGGAAATTTATATCTGATTAAATTTTTGGACATCTGTAGACTGTTTCCATTTTAGAATTTTATTTATTACCAAGCTTTGCTGGTGTCTGCAAGTTAAAGATTATTGTCTCAGCAGGGTAATATTTAATCAATCAGTACTAAAACAGACCAGCTACAAGAACTTTGGAAATAAACCAGCAATCCAGTCACATTTTTCTACTAAAACAAAACTAATTTATAAAACAGCACTCTACTTCTCAAATAATCAGGGCATCTTTTCCATCAGGGCAAAAAAAGAATCTCATGAATTCTATGAAATAGATTTAAGGAATACCCACTTAGAAGCATGGCTAGAAAACAAAATTTTATCATTTTATTGGTGTCTTACATTTGTTATTTCTGGTAGATGAACTGTGCCTTATATAGCTTGGTTCTTAAAGTAGTTCAAATAGTAGCTTTTGATAGATAGGTAGCCATTTTAAAATTTATAAATTTAAAAAGATTTGGATTTTTTTCTTTTTGAAATTGTTCAGGTATACTACTTTTCTCTGAAGAAAACAACTAGTAAAATCTTCTTGAAATATTCTAGAAGCATTTTGTTTATGGAACTGAGCTTTGTCAAGGGGAAAAAGATCAGTGTGAAAGACAGTAGCAACACTCTTAATCCTAGCACCTTGACTTTCTATACTGAAGCTGGCTATGTGTACTTGACAACAATAAGAAACAAAAAACTGGATGACATATTCACAATTTCCCCAAGGAGAGATTCATCAATTGCTCGTTTTCAATAAAAAGTCCTGTTGATATTAATTGATTCACACAACACATTTTTAAGTAAGCAAATAAACTGTGGTTTTCCACAAAATCCTGTCTTCCCCTGAGGTTTGCTGAATTTAGAACATATCTGTTTGAAAATTATACACGATTGTATGTTTTCATTGTCAATCCTGAAATGGATTATAAGAGACTTCAGAGAGAAAATTTTATTTAGTATTATGTAACTGAATCCTTTTTGAAAGATAGAACTTAATTCATTTAAATTTCTATTTCCAAATCTGTAATGTATTATCACCCTTTTTGCACACTAACCCTTTTTTTAACTCATATTTGTTGTTTTTAGGTATCGCATGTACAGGAAAAGCCAAACAACAGGCTTCCCTTCTCTAATTACAATTTTTTCAGCACCAAATTATTTAGATGTATACAATAACAAAGGTAAGACCTTTTTAAACTCTTCTTGCGGTCTTGTATAATATGTGCAATTAATCTTTAACTTGCCTTATTTTGGTTTGGATTTAAGGATTTTTAACCATTTATTTTTCTCTTACTTTTTCAATTTTTGTTTGATGCCAATTTTGTGATTACACATGGAAACACATTTGACTAGTGGTGGGGTCCAGGCACTGGTACCTTTAAAATATTTTTCAAGACATTTCTAAAGTCTGTAAAGAATATCAGCTGCTGCTCTGGCAGTTAAAGATATTTTAAAAAAACAATGAGAGGTAATCTAATATCATGGTCCCTAAAAAGGATGTGTATTTGAATGAGAGTAGTGAGATCCTGTGTATAACTGATCAGCAAAAAAAGTGTGCAGCTTAAAGAAACTATAGCTTGAAATTCAAGTTCAAATTGTATTTATTGAGCACCTACCAAGAGTCTTCTTTCTAGGCAAGTATGGCTTCATTTCTTAAAAAAAAAAATTAAAAATAAGCAAAAGTAAGCTCCAAGGGTAAATATTATAGCCAAATCTTCCCCTTTTTGATTTGCAGAATCAATCCCTGTGGTTAATTGCCTTGCCTGAGGTCACTCATTTAGGAAGTAATGAACTGGGATGAAACCTAACCATCAAGTTCAGTGACCTGTACTTGCTTTCTGAAATTCCATATTCAGTATGCCTGGAGGTGGTGAGGGGGAACTGGGAAACAAGAGGACATTATTTACTCACTGTGGATAAAAAAAGAAAAAGCAAGGGATCCATTATTACCCTCTTTCATAAAGGTAGTTTCTTAATTTGGAAATCATGGTATTATAGGTATGTCAGGATAGGTGATCAAATGCAGAAGTGACATGACCTCTAGTTGATATTGGCCTGCACATTACATGAGTATCAAGTCTGAGTAGAACTTTCAGAGATTAAGAGAATTGGAGACCAGAAAGGAAAACTCAATCAACCCATAGTCCAGGAAAAGCAGAAAAAGGCAGTCTGGTTTCTGAGTCAGTCTGAAAACTAGGAACCATTCCCATGCATAAGTCAGGTATGATGGATGTCTTTCTGCCGTGTGTCCACGATGCCTAATAGGGGCTTTCACCTCCAGTATTCCCAAGTGCCTGCTGAGTGTTCTGTCTTTAATAGGTTGTTGCCTCGGTTTCTGGTGTTCCACTTTCCCTGTCTAGTACTTCCCACTTCCTCCTTCTCAGAGATAGACCTTGACCTTCATATATTTGGGAGCTCTCAGGGATCTTCCCACAAAAGGCAAATCTGGTGTAATCACAGTGCTGCCCCACCTCTCCTTCTGTTCCTTACTTCTCCCTCCACACACTTGCTCTTTCCTACAGATGGAGCCTACAACCCTCCCACTCCCTTCCCAAGAGCCCAGAGAGAGACATCTGCTGGATGGAGTTTTCCATCACTGTGCAATCTTTTTCATGACTATATTGACAGTTATGGCCCCCTTTTCTGTACTCGGGAGCATAATTATCAGTAGACACAATGCAGTTTCTGTCACACTTGAGGGGGGCAGGGAGCACAAGACAATTCTAGAAATGAGGTGCTGCCTCTTGTGGCAAGAAGTTTGCAAAGTCAAATAACATGTGTCCTCTGCATGCCATGTGTTTGTAAGGCAGTTGACAAAGCAAGATTTTAGTGGCTTACTAAAAATATAAGACATAACATGATTTAGCTGAAATCAAGGGACTCAATATGAAATACATTTGACAAGGGGTAGTTTTCTGGAATGGTCAGAGAAGTCCTTGTTTGAGATAAAATATGACCTGAATCATAAATATTGGCCAGTGTTTGGTGAGAAAGAGGAAAACACAAAGTCAAAACAAGTGATTTTTTTTTAAAGCAGCAAATACTTTGTGTATAAAATCAATTCCCAGGGTTTTCAGTCTTGCTCTATAGAGGGCACCTGAAGTAGCACCAAGCAGTTTAAGAACTCAGTAGGTCGTATTACACATCCCATCAGGAACCTATAATTTATCTTAGGTGTGTAAAATATGAACACAAGTTTTTATTATTCTATGTCATTTAAACTTTGTTCTATTAAACCTAGGGAAAGGAACACCCAAAAAGTTATGTTCTTTTCAGAGACTGATTGCTAAGTTGCACATACAAACAAGGTTTCTAGCAATTAAACAAAAATAGAATAATAAAAATTAAAATGGGATTTTATTCCATAAGAATGGTCTTGCCTCTTTTTGTTATTTCTAATTGTAGGTAATATGATTTTTGTTAAGACCAAAACCACTTGTCACATATGGTGTATGTTGCTTCTTTGTATATGGTTCTGAGATAACAAGGTAGGAACTTAAAAACACATGTGTTTTTAAACACACACACACACACACACACACACACACAGGTATCAGGGCACAGCTATCTTTGAGACTGTGTTGTTCTTTTATTCTTTCCTCTTGCCTTAGGGTAGAGCAGTCTTTTTGGAAGGAGATAAAAGTGTTTCATTTTGGGAACCTTTTCATAAAACAAGAAATTCTCCCAAGAGAAAAGGATAAACTGATAGGAAAAAGAAAGACATATTCTTCAGTTAGAACATAATTTCAAAAGACTTTTGTGTAAATTTTCTGAAGCACTTTAAAGCTATTATGCTAACAGTGTGTACAGTATCTGGGAGTGGGAGTCAATTATTCACAGCTAAAGTGAAGATTATTCTTTTTGAATAAAATCAGTGTTAACTAGAATATTAAAAAGCAGTGCAATGAAATTGGGTTGTGAGATCCTCCAAAATACAATTAATAGAAAAATAACACTGAAGAATCTCTGAGTTAAACATCTGATTCTTAGAGATGGATGACCATAAAGGATTCTGGAATTATAACCCAATAGTTATGTTATGGTTTGATTTGTAAAGCTCCTGCAGATTAAGACACCAGTGACTCTCTCTGAAAAAATAAAAGTATGTTTGTTCTTCCATCTTAATTAAAAAGAGTAATAGTTGTGATCAGATGTGTATTTATATATCCAATAGTTCTGATTAGTGGTCCTTAGTGGCTTATAGCTAATAAGAAATGCTTGGAAAGTGAGGACTGAGTGTTCCATCTCTTGGTGAAGCCCACATTAATTCTGTCAGCTCTTATCCTTTGCAGTCTGCCGTAACATAATAGTTTTCTCACTGGTCTCCCTGCTTCTGTTTCCTCACTCTGACCACTGCAAGATGCCAGGGCAAAAGATGTAGGTTTGAATCACATTAAACAAATAACTTATTTAGATTTATTGGATGTGCAGTGCTATCTCTGTAAAATGAGGGAAAAATGTTCTTTTGTGACTAATACATGGAATTGCTTTGAAACAAAGTGCTGTGCAATATTAAGATATTATCGTCATTGAATATGTTAGGTTATTATTATGCCACATGTTAGTTCAGGGCTTCACAAAAGCTGGCAGGAAAAGGATGCTTCTCTTCAGCTTTTTACTTATCATTTCACTATATATTATTTTACCTACCTTATGACCTCCCTCTTCACTTCCGAATGAACCCTTTTCTGTAGCCAACTTGTTCTGCTCATTTCCCTCAACAACTTTTGACTTTCCATCTCTCCACACCTTGGCCCACATACTTCTCTCCATCTAAAATGCTTGACTTGCACCCTGCCCATCTAGGTAGATTAGACCCTTTCCATCTCTGTTTCCATGAAGACCCCCTTTGAATGTTTTCAGTGCCAGTCATTTTTTCTTATACATATCATATATTTTTAGTTAGCTTTCCCATAAATTTCAGTTACATGCCGATCATTTATTTATTTTTTATTTGAAATATGAAGCTTTTGAATTAACATTGTACATGGTACATTCATATTGTGAAGCCAGACTGCATACATTGTACCTGGTAGGCAGTCGATACATGAATCAATTGGAGCATTTTTCTTCTAGGAATTAATAGAAGACAGTGCCCAATAAGTACCCTATCAATATTGACCCAGAGATTTTTTTTTTTATCTCACTTGAAATTATTGCCGTAATCAGTGCCAATGCCCTTTCCAAATTGGAGTTAAACATTTGCAAAGCACTTTGTGCATTTGAATTGTTTTTCTTCTGTGAATCTGATCCCTAAAGGAAAAGTTATTTCCTGATTCTTTAAATATATCAGATGAAAAATGAAGTAATGAAACATAGTTTTCATTTTTTTCTTCATAATTTGCCTCCTGGAAAAATGGCTTCCACCATATCCATACACCAATACAACAAACTTTTACCAAAAACTTGGTATACATCAAGCACCATGCTAGGTGTTGGGGATATAATTTAAACAAGGCAGACATGGTCTTTGCCCCAGTGTGCTTTATAACCTTGCAATGTGATAGATATTAAGTAAATAATTCAACCAATAAAAATTAAAGAATATTTGGAAAATGCTACAAAGAAAAGAGTAGTATTTGGAAATTAGTCTATGGGAACAGAAGAGCTTAACTGAGAAAGTGAAATTTAAGAGTACAATCACTTAGAATTCAGAAATACTGTGGCAGATGTAAACACTGCTTTAAAATTTTTAGTTTGTACAAATACTCTAATGAACCTCTGGAAAACTGTGTTTTACACCTGATTAAAAAAAAGAGCAGGTCCTTTTTCTCTACAGAAACAACTGTGCTTCAAAGGAATCTAAGTTAGATTGCATAGGATTTCCATGTGGGTCAAGTTTTCTATAATTCATATGAGTTCTTGGGTGGGTGGGTGAGTGGGTGAGCTAATAGATATATAGGATATATTTAGATAAATGTAATCATATATACCAGAGGTTTAAAACTATTTCAGGTACTGTCAGTAAAATTAAGGAAATTTATTAAATGAAACATATTTTGGGTTGAGAGGAAAATAGAAATAGCAACCAAACTAATATAGCAATCAAGACCAGAGATTAAAATGACAGCCAAGGGAATAAATGAATTTAATATTAAAATACTTGGGAAGAGAGAGATGGAAAATTGGATTGAGAAGATGGAAAAGAAGAATATCATTTACTATAATTTTAAGATGCAAA